CTCATATCTCCGCACTGTTTCTTGATTTTCGAACACCGGAGGGGAGGTTTCTTTGCGGACAGTCACGCAACAAAAATCGAATGTCACATTGATTCGAAAAAAAAAAGAAGCAGATAAAGAGATAGAGAAGGACATTCCTCTTATCGCGATCGTTCTTGATTAACTCCCGGCAGATCGAAAGTTATTTTTCGAGGGAAACGCGCTCTCCTCGAGATATCGCGGGTGGGGATTGGCTTTGTATCGCTTCGCCAGGCGTGCCGACAGATAGAGCGAGAAAGAGAAGGAGATAAATCGAGAGCAATATCTCTCTCTCTCTCTCTTCTCGCCGGTCCCCGGCGAGAATCGAAGCGCCGCGCGAGATCGTGCAGAGCCGAGGTTCGCCGATTCGAAATTCACTTCGTCGAGTCGCACGCCGCGATTGCAACTCGACATTCGCGTATCGGGGGGAGCTGCGCTTCGTTTTTCCCCGGGTGCTCATACATCCGTACACGTCGTATCTGTCGCTGTGCGACTCGAGATCGAGTTCGCTCGCTCGCTCGCGCAACCGTCGCGGCGAATTAACGCGAGAACCGAACGCACGGGCGAGAGAGAGAGAGAGAGAGAGAGAGAGAGAGAGAGAGCACCTCCACCACCTCCTCGCGCGTGTCTAAATCGTCATCGGTGCACAGACTACGAAGAGGAGGCACACACTCCGCGGCAGCACTCCGCTCGGCGAGACGGACACACGCGGGAGCCGGAAGAACAGCAGGAAGAAGCATCTCAGCGGTTTGAAGGACGAAAGAGAGGCAACAGGCCGAGCCCTCGAAGGGAGAAAAGAAGAGGGAAATAGAGAGAGAGAGAGAGAGAGAGAGAGAGGGGAAGGCTCACGGACGGCGCGGCGAGTAAATAGAAGAGAGAAAGAGGGAGAAAGGTCTCTCGGCCGCGACCTTTGACCCCCGACCTACAGGACCTGGAGCAACGAGCGGTGCGTGCCCGGTTCGAGGATACATACCCCGGCCAAGGACAACGCGGTTGACACCGCGAAGGGATTCGCGCGCGCGCCAACAAATCAGGAAGCCGGCAGCTTCGCGGGGACGACGGAGAAGAAGTGCAGCAGTGCCGCCGGCCGGAAGTGCCAGCGCCAGTAAGAGGGAAAGAAGAAAGAAGGGTCAGAGGGTACCAAGTCGCCCACGAGGACGTTACGACGTCGACGACGACGACGACTCTCCGTCCACAGCCACGTTTCTATCTTCCTTCATCTCGCTCGCTCTCCCGTCGTTATTTTGTGCCGGAAGCGCGCACTTACAGCTCGCGTCCGCCTCAGGATCGTGACTTTTGATACGTTACGCCGCGACTGACTTCTCGCGTGTGTGTCTCGTGAACTCTCTCTCTCTCTCTCTCTCTCTCTCTCTTTCTCTCTCACTTGCTCCCGCGCTCTGTCGCGTTTCAGAGCGGTTTTGAGTCAACTATCGGCGAGAGTAGTCCTTACTCTCCTGCCTTTTGCTCTTCCGCTCGTTTGATCACCCTCTTTCTTCGTCCTCCTCCTCTTCCGCCTCCACCTCCTCTTCCTCCTCCTCGCTTGCTCGCTTTCTCCTAGTCTCCCTCTCTCCCGGTTCCCGTCCCGTCTTCTTCTTCATCTCCCTCTTGCTCTCGCTGTCGCTCTCGCTCTCGTCAGGGGCGTCGTCTCTTCTCGTCGTAGTCTTCGTCTTCGTTGCAGCGAACATGGGCGGATGTACTTCGAAGGATACCACGTCGGGCGACGAGTACGTATCCGTGAGAAAGTCTCTGTCTCTCTCTCTATTTCTCTCTATCTCTCTTTCTCCCACAGGATGTGAGACAGCGTGTCTCTTCTTTTTCTCCCCCCTTTGTCCCGCCTCTCCCCTCTTCTGTCCGCGCCATCATGTTACATATCGGGTATGTGATGATTATTAATACACCCGGAGTCGCGTTCCGACGTGCGTATGAAGTACTCTTGATTTTACCACATTGTATAACGCGAGCCACTGATACAACATTCGAACTGGGTTCTAAATATAGATTATTTTCATCGTGATTCGCGCGATCTCCTATCCGACAGGCGGGCGTCGCGAAAAGCCGGAGCGAAGCGCGTATGTTTTGTGCCGTCTCAGCGATTCCTTTCTGTCTTTACCGTTCTTTATGACCTGTTTCTCTCACTTTATCTACAAGGAAAAACTTGCGTGCCAAGCTGTGTCTCGGGCTTATGACGGCCGGATGAGACTTTTGCGACATCTCCGGGTGCGATAGCGATGGTTTAACAAACCGATCCGCCCGCCTCCGTCTGTGTTCCTCCGCATATTCGCGCGCACGTAGAGAGAGAAAGAGAGGGAGGATTTCTCGCGTGTACTAAGAGCTGTCACCTATCGCTTCTCTCTCTCTCTCTCTCTCTCTTTCTCTCTCTCTCTCTCTCTCTCTCTCTCTCTCTCGTGTGACTCGAATCGACGATTCGTCGACGACGATCGGCGCGTACCTAATTGCTGCTTCTCTCACGACACGCGATGGGCAGCGTATGCGCGTCGCTGGGTATATGCGAGTCAGACGAGACCAAGGTCGAAGACGACGTGTACGTATCTCCGTTCGGTGGAATCTTCTTGACACTAGGATGCACTTCGAAAACTGCTTACTCGAAAGAAAGAAACGAGGGGTGCGCTTAACTCTCGTAACTCGCTGCACGCGGCATAGGTAGATATCCGTGTTGTGAGAAATTCGCATTTCTAGGGGGGACTTCGATCAGGAGGGGAGAGATGAAGTGTAACCGTTAATTGTGAGAGATCGACCTAAAAATTGGGGAAATTAATTAGGGGGGATCGATCTCAAAATCGAGGAAGTTGATTTAAATTCGATTTACTTGACAAGTAATCTGAATCTGAAATATGAAAATGTTCTATTCGAATATCTGTAAAAATTTATACATCTGATTAAGTTAATTATAAAATATCAATCTCAAAGTCGAGGAAATTAATTTAGATGCGATTCAATCGGCAATTAAACAATTCGAACCTAAAGGTCTCATATTAAAATATGAAAATTTATACATTTGATTACCGTTAAACAGTTGATCCTAAAGTAGAGAAAATTAAGTTAGATGCAATTCGATAACCGGGCAATTAAATAATCCGAATCTGAAAATAACATGTTAAAATATGAAAATTTATGCGTTTGATTACCGTTAATTATAAAGGATCGATCTGAAAATTGGAAAAATTAATTCAAATTTTATTCGACTGGCAGTTAAGTATAACCTGAATCTAAAATATTAAAATCTTTTATCAAGATGTATGAAAATTCTATCAAGATGTATGAAAATTTGTATGTTCTATTGGAGTGTTATGAGATTAATTTAATTAAAAATTATATTTCCGGAAAAGGCTGAAAATCGAATGATGCATCCTAGAGTTAATAGACAGGCAAGTGTATAGCACCAACAACCACGAGGCACATGTACAGCACCAAATAAATAATTCTGTATCTCGAAAGTGGAGAGCTTGAGTTCCGTTTCTTCAGTCTTCAGTTGCAGAAGTCTTCAAAATGAGAAAAAAATTTCCCCGATCTTACATTTATTTTTTCCATTCAGTTTATTTATTTATTTTATTAAATTTATTAAATTTTCATTAATCATATGATGAAGATCGATGAATTGATGCAATTGACACACGGAAAAGAAAGTAGCTCACACAGGTAGAAATTGACTGTCCGTATAATACAACTGAAATTTAGCTAATTTAGCTAATTCGTTTGGTCTCTGTACTTAGCTTTTAGCTTCCCATAGCTAAAAATTGGGTCTGGTAACTAAATTCCAGTTGTATTGTATGTTCAGCTGTTTATATGTTCAATTGTATGAGCAGCTAATTTCTTTTTTCTGTGTATGCGTCAGTGTGAAAATTAAAAATTTTTATACTTACGAACTAGAAATCGAAAAAGCGGATGTCGGCCTTCCCACTTGCATAGTACAGAATTGAAAAAAAAGTATCTTGTAATAACGCAACGTGAAAGCAATGTCGCAAATGTGCAAATCGCTGGAGAGAATGTAAAGAAAAAGATCGATGGAAGCACTCGTCGTCGCTAGAAAAGTAACTCGAAGTCGAAACATGATGACGACGACAATCTGACTTTAGTCGGATTTAATCCTGACTATCAGATCAAAACGCGGGACAGATGTTCCCTCGAGTACCTCGCACTCGCAATTAAATATCTCATAATTAAGTACCTCACGAAAGAACGCGATTGGCTCTCTTTAAACACACGTTCCCGCGGTGCATTATGCCCTCCCCCCC